CTCCAACAGTGAGTCAATCTCCATAAGGCCCCATATTAAAATGCCCAACTTTACAGCAGAAATAAACATGAAAACAGTACGGAGGGGGAATTTTTATACAACTCACCCCTTTAAATTATATTAAAGCTTAAAGTTATGCATAATTAAGGGCAGGTCGCTTTGAGTGACAGGTGGGTCCCGTCATGTGTGGCTGTTTTCAGTAACCAGGCTTCATTCAGCCTCAGCTCAACGTCTTTGACCATTTTTGGATTACCGACGGACTCAGGACTTCCAAGATGGGTGACACTACGGCCATTTTTAATTATACAGACTATGCTCAACACCAGACCGTATCAAATCACTGACAAAAAACTGACCCAAAATCTTTAACCACAGCTAGCGTCACTGGTAGATATTGATGGTTATGAACAGAATTAAACAATGTTTGTTTATTTCTCCTTTTAGGTGAACCGGGTCGACCGGCTTACGGCAAAGACGGTCGTGACGGAGAGAGGGGACCCCGTGGTATTTCCGGTACAGCTGGCGTTCCCGGGCCTCCCGGCCCCCCTGGTCAGAACGGTTACTGCGAGTCGTCGCAGTGCGTCCTGCCCATGGTGGCGTCGCCGGTTTCTGCAAAGGACTCCAGCATGAAGGGCCCCAGTGAGATGTGAAGAGGGGCCGGAGCGGAAAACTGAGAGACTGGAGGAGAAACCAGAACTCCGTGGAAGATTTGTCCATTTGAGTTTTGTCACTTTTTTTTTTATTTGGTCATCTCATTTGGAAAGTAATTTTGTTCTCTTGAAGCCAGCTTTGTGGTTATAAACGTGACATGAAGGTGGACACTGAACAGCACACCTCACCTTTTGAAACTCCTTTACATAAAAAAAGTTTCATTTTACCTCAAGTTTGCCATCTCTGTACTGTAAAATCGGAGAAATTAAGAACTCACTGAATATGTACAAACCTACCAGCCCCATTTCTATCGCAGCAGCAAGGAGGCAAGTCTGACGGTTTCTCTGTATGTTTATGTAAATGTGTCAATACGCAAAATTATACTGCTGGATGACGTACATTTTGTTTGCGAGTGTTTTTGTTGTTTATCCACTTAAATCCCCCCTGTGCCTTTTCCTCTCAGTGTAGGATATGTTTGATGATTTCTCTGTCATGACGACTGTTGTTTTTGTGATTGGAGGGTGGCAATGTGTGAAAACCTCTCTGGCAGTTTTATATGACTTCTTATTTATTATATCAAGGTTCAAAGTGACATCTTCGAGTTGTACAAAGGAGGAAATAAACACATTTTGATAACCTCTTGCATGTTTTGTATGGAGTACAGCCCCAAAAGGAGCACAGGAGTGTGCTTTAAAAATTAAAATTAAAACTGAATTTCTATGATCAACAGCTTGAAGACACTTCTTCCTATAAACCAGACCTGATGATCCTGCTGTGAAAAGAAAACATGCCAGATGTTTTTGAAGGTTTTAAATGGATCTTCTTGCCAGTTCAGTAAAAAGTCTTATGAAACAGTTTCTGGTGTAATTATTTAATACAACAGCAATTAGATTAGCTTTCTCTCAGAAGATTCAGTGCATTTTATAAAATGTCTCATTCCGCCCACAGTTTAATTGGATATGCAAAAGAAAGATAATTAGCTGATTCAGTCTGCAGTAATTAAATACATTTAAATGTTAAAACGAGACACTGTTTTATTTAACACACTTTAAGGAGCATTTTCACAATAACTATCTCACAAAATGACATAAAATGATTGACAAAGGACACAACACAACTACAAAAAGGAGAAGAATTAATGTATAACTTTGTCCAGCAGAGTTTCTCAGTGTTTGAATCTCTCCAGTGAAATCTAATAACTTTTAATTCTTTGATGGACACATTTAAGGAGAAGCTGCTTCAAACTTTGCCACCAAGAAAGTCCTCCAGTTGAAATCAGGACGTTAATAAGAAACACAGGAAGAAGATGGCTTTGAGAATGTCGATGCTGCAGGCTGTATGTTTAAAAATGACCACAAGAGGGCAGCCATACAGAACTATCATCCTGATCAACTGAACATGTGTTTGAGCACATTCTGCTTATTGTTTTCATTTCGCAAGAAACTTGACCTTTGAGCATTTTCCTCCCTTTTGTTTCTAACACAAGAGGCTTATTTCATGAATAAACGTTTTTGTTAATTCAACCTTGAGGGTGAAACACCTTAATGCCTGCAGTTTGAACCGGGTTTTAGTTTACGGTTCATTTTATGACAAGATTTCAGGAAGTTTGAAGATGTTTTCTCAATATTTCTAGGATTAAACAAAATCACAATACAGAGAATGTGTGGATGGAACATGTAGGTGACGAGCACCTTAATTCGCCTTTCATTATTTTTCAAAATCAGACCGAACCGTATTGTGTTCTTAAAGTTAGTTATTTTTTCTAATTGTATAGATAATTAGAAACCAAAAGCTGATGAGTGGACCTTGATTTGAGATTGTCCACAGTAGAATGAACTTCCTATCAGACACAATTAACAAAAAACACTGAAAATAACCACTCATTCACTCTTTTCTTTGTTGTTTTTCAGTGTATCATTTAATGTACTTTCACAAGTTGGTGAACAGGTACAACTTTGTCGCTCACGGTACTAAATCACACATCCATTGATAGTATAAATAGCCAACCTAATAATAATAATAATAGTACACATTTTCAAATACATAAAATCATCAAGTATCCAAGTCTTAAGTTACAGACATCAAATAAAAAGGCATACAAAATATCGCAGACGTTGGAAGTCCAGTTTGAAGCAAAAAAAAGAAACAAAAACTGAAAAAATAAAAACAAAAACAAAATCACATTTTGGACATGGCAGTTAATTAGTAAACAGAAGGTTTGATAGAGAAAAGAAACAAGTACGAGTTCCTAGACTTTCAATTGACAAATATTGCAACAATTAAGCATTTTATATTAAAAAATAGTTACTGGAAAGCAGGCAATAAGTGAGTGTAAGACTTCCTGCACAAGACAAAGGCAACGATTTCTTTTTTTTTTTTGTTCCGAGTAGAAAAAATGAAAACACCTTTTCAAATGCCAGCGAGGTCGGACTCCCGCCTCGATTGCCTTTGTTCCACTTCGATTGTAAGGCATTTATGGATGAACCATCTGATTTGAAGGAAGGCATACCTCTTTCTAGTCAGTCTTGAAACGGAACCCTAAAATTGAACGGGGTACATAATCGCTCATGTAAAAAGTAAAAACGGATAGTTGTTGGGTTTTTTTTAAGCACATTTTTAGGAAATGTAAACTGGCCAATTGAAATCTTTGGGATGCGTTTGCAGAAAACAATTAATCCAACATCTTACAATGATACACGACTCAGCGCTGCCCTTCCTAATTTTTTTTTCTCGGGCACATGATGAGAAAACACGGCTTTCCGGTTCACAAAACTCATTTTTCTTTTTTTTTTGACACTTTATTTTTTAACCTGGAGCGGGAAGGGGACAGTTGAATTACCGAGCATGGTTTTCCAAAGTAAAATACTTCAACACAATGACAAAAAAAAAAAAAAAAGAAAGCCTGCCAGGTTTCTAATAAGCTGGGGAGGTTGAATTGAACTCTTCAGTTGTGGCGTGGCTCAGGGTTTGGCTCTACTGGATGCAGCAGTTATTACGATGGCGCAGGCGCATCTTTGGACGATATTTCTCCAGGTAGAACAGCTGCTTGCTGTTGAACGCTCCTCGACGCTTCCTGGAAGACACAATGGGACATGAATTCAACTCAGTTCAGATCTCAAACAGATCTTTATCAGTCTCAGAACAGCAGGTACCAGAGTCCATTCACACAAAAACTACGCAGCACTGTGAGGACTCACTGACATTACAGGAGGAGAATGCACCGATTACAGATATGGCAGTTTTCCAGCTATTTAATTTCCTGAATTTGTCAAAAACATTCCTGATTATTTTATTAGTAACAATTTCTAGAATATTTATATCAATACATACTTCCATAATATTAAATTACATATGTTGCATATATTACATGTTTTATCCATATTGCTCTCTCCTGCTCATAATATGGCATTTTTAGCATTATCCGTGTAACTTTCTATGAAAAAGGATTTAAAATGTGGGACTTAAAACAATGACACATCACACACTGTAAAACACCCCCCTCCACTCCTCCTACTGAATCATTATTATCTCACTATCTGATATAACTCTATTTACAGACTCATCATGACTCATCCCTCCCCGCTGTATGAGCCACCCAAACATTCACTTTCTGTGAGAAATATGTCCAACAGAAGAGCAGGAAGATCTCAAAATGAGTGGCCGACCAATACACATCGGCATGGCCAGTGTTATCAGACAGTTAGGCTTATCACAGATACACTGGTTTGTTAATCAACTGCTGTACAGAAACTCCAAAGATGTTTGAGGGAGTCTCTAACACAGTTTGTCCACCAGAGAGCG